TACCTGAAGGTTTTGGGAGCTGCTGATCGATTTGCGAAAGGCGAAAACAGCTAAAACGAGCTGAGCGTAATCCGCCACACACCAGCAAGTTTCGTACAAGGCTGAGCAGAGTCACCGTTGACCAGTTGACAGCTACACAAATAATTGCGTTTCGGACGGCCAGCAAAGATTGTGGAAGTAAAATTTTGTTGTAAAAGCAATTGGTCACTCAGCTCCGACATGTCGATTGAGTCGACATGTACCTTTACCGCAGCAATACTCTTCAAAGGCTTCAACGAGTCCTTGAGAGTTTTTCCGTGGGCGCAGTGATGAGATCGAGAGGCTACGGAGTTGGTGATGAGCGCTGTCGATCACAACATCGTGTCCCAAATGGTGGCGAAGCTCCTGGCAGAGACACGCTGAAAGTGCTGGCAGTGATGACACCGCAGTCATACTGAAGTAGTTGTCTCATATCGTGGCGAAGGGCAGCAAGGTCGTAGATGTCTCTCGAAAACACCAGCCGGAGTTCACTGGGACAACCAGCCAGGTTTCGGACAGCACATGGACCGGAGAGAAAAGATAAGTATTAGTACTTGAGATTGTGGATGTTTTCGATAATTTACCAAAGTACATGTATTTGACTTGCCAACAGCTAAGCAACAAATCGTTCAATCACGTCCTCCCCACTCACCACCAGCATCGATTTTCTTTCCTGCTGTAAATCTAGAGTTGAAGTCCTGTTCCCGTCGAGAGAACACTCTTCCATGATCATGATAGACCCAAAATATTCACACAACTCGAAAATACAAACTGCACCAACGAAAAGCCACTGCGAAGTGACAGGAATGCGGTCAAGCACAACATTTATGCTGAAGCAAAAGGTTGCACGGAAATCCCAAAATCAGTGCGATTTTACATGAGCCCCAAATGTTCAAGTTACCCACAAAGACACAAGCTTTTCAACTCTCTTTGGCCGTTGGAACGCGTACCTTCTTCTCAAGGGCTTCAATGGCGGAATTCTTTGCCTTCGCTTGACTCATCACCACTTCCTTCAGCTCCTGTACCTGGTTAGTCAGCACCTTCACCGTGTCCACAAGAGTAGCTAAAAGGGAAATAGCACTGGTTGATTTATGTAAGTCACTTGTTTCCGGCGCATTGCTACTCGCGGCAGAAAACCGACTTTTTATTTCTCGCACGGTTTCGGACCCACTTTGCCCGATCCATTGCAGATCGTTTCGCCGGGCCAGCTCCTTGAGATCCTCGTTCGTAAGAGAGCTGAAGTATTCTTGTTCCAAAGCCATTCGTAGGCTATACTAAGTAACTAATGCTCACCAGACGGAGCTCGAAAAACGTAAACCGTTCATAAATTCGGTCACACAACGTATTTGCAAAAGGATTATTGGGTGAACTTGTTTCGTAATGCTCAGACGCTTCTATCAGATCGAATTACAAACATAATTTCCCGGTTTTACTCAGCTGACACTATAAAACTCATGTTTTCGACACGAGCACAAACCCACAACAGCGTTCCTTCAAAGTTCTCAGAGAAATCCTTAAACCAGCATGGCTCTTAATAGTACAACACATTATAGCTATACGAACTTAGAAGTTGGGACTTCGGCGGTAATAGTCATGAAGTTGATTGTTCCAACTAGGAACACACGCTTCTTGCCGAACTAATACTTGGCACTTGACTGACTCACACACGAGGAGCACGTCGCACCTTCCACTCGGCAAACCTGCAAGAAAGCACCACTCCCTGCTCAATACACGGTGTTTCGGGGAATTCACCCCTCATCGTATTGTTGTCCCTCACGCGGACGTGCGACTAGTTGTTGGAGGTGACAGCGTTGCGAATAGCTATACTGGCTCTCAACGTCTGTTTTTTCACAACTCCATGAGCGACTCTGACTCACGCTGCTACCTAGAGCTTCACGAGGTGTTTGTCGCGCTGGAAACAAAGCGTCTCTGTAAGTTTGTATCCCTGGTGATGGTTTGGCCTGGAGAGCAATAATTATATAAGTGGTGCTATTCAGGCACAATCTTCCTCAGCCTACTCAAGCTCAACTGATGAGGGGTGAATTCCCCGAAAAACCGTGTATTGAGCAGGGAGTGGTGCTTTCTTGCAGGTTTGCCGAGTGGAAGGTGCGACGTGCTCCTCGTGTGCTCCGGATGGCAGTCGTGAGTCAGTCAAGTGTCAAGTATTAGTTCGGCAAGAAGCGTGTGTTCCTAGTTGGAACAATCAGCTTCATGACATTATAGCTATGTTCCAACATAGACGAATGCTTCACAGCTGAGTGGCATGGTAGTGAAAGAGAAAGGGAAACAGAAATATAGAAACACACTCACAACACACAACAAAACGTCATATGCACACACAGTGTTGTTGGTATGTAGAAACACGCTTCAATCTTTGTATCATTTCGCACACACGTGCACACAACTGTGCTTGTAACTATAAATACTAGTACCGCTTTTGACATTGGCGCATGACCCAGTGCACCCTACCACATGTTTGCCCTTGAAGAACTTGCAAATTTCAATAATTATCTTTATCAGGATGACCCAGAAGCTTGTTGCCTATCAAGGGGTTCACCGTTTTGAAAGGTGTACTTGTATCTGTATGAGCTAATCTTCTGCGTACTTGGCTGGAAGCCCCTCTCGCGGTGATGGTTACGTAGGTGCGGATCTAAGTTATCCGCCCTTGTAAACCGATTATTGCAGATTGGGCATTGAAATAGCTCCTCGCCTGTATGCGAAAGCCTGGGCTGGGTAAGTGTCTAACGCAAGCGAAGATGAGGGTACAGCCGTCATGTATACATGCCAGTGCTTCACAGGTGTCATCTAGGATAATTCAATCCATGCGGTATCTACTCTTATCACTCTCTTGTTATTGACCGCCACAGAAACTTGTGATCTCTAAGCGGTCAAATATCAGCATATATTGTTTGAGCTGTCAACGTCGGATCTGGCACTGCTGGTCAGGTCCATCTTGTCCATATCGGGATCTATGGGTCGTGAACTCTCTACGGGTTCGGCGGGGTGTGAACGACTTTCTGTGCCTGTACTACGTTTCTTTCGATTTCGGCGCTGCCTCTGGCTTGTTGTTTCTTGCTCTCTCTCTAGTAGTAGTTGGTCTGCAATGGTGGAGGAGTTTGATTTACAAGACGCACACGTAACATTGCCGATGTCCAAATTTTGGCACAGGCGAGTGTCGGCCAGGTCCTCCCTCAGCTGGGAAAGCTCGGAGCTCAATCCACTGACCCTTCGTTGATATCGTTTCTCCTGGTCCTGAAGTTGGCGTTCAAGACGAGCTAGAGTTCTCAGCACTTCTCAGTCTACAACATTGTGTTCGAAGCCAGGCAACGAGCGAAGCTGTGTATGGACCTGTTCGGCGCTCATCAGTTGCTCAGTGTGATCTGGGCTAGCCATCCCACCCAGGCTGTTGGGGCTAGTCTCCAAAAGAAACCTAAAAACTACGGAAAAATCGGGAGTCTCAAAACACGCAACCTACTACTACGACGGGCGTACATAGTAGGCTTGACTAGCTCGACTGCAATGTAGAGAACATCAGTTGTCCTTCTAACCTTCCACTCTGCAGAGGTGCACGTAACTATCAATTCACTTGAATTTGCAATTCAATTTTGAGAGAAAAATGTCACATGATGTAGACCGGTATACTGACTGCCTGCAGATGACATGGGAGAGTACATTTTGCTGTATTTAAAGAGCTAACAGGATCACTGGGTCGGGAGAGATGAAACGGATGCAGGAGAAATGCTGAAACTAGATCTGCCTGTGAGTGTGAGAGGATTGCCCAATGTGAACCTGGTAATTGGTAAGGCTTTCACAAGATAATAATTATTATTATGAGAGTGTTTTCAATAGATCGGTGTACTACAACCATTAGAGTTCAGCTAAGATTATGTCATTTTTTACGAGGCACAAGTCCCATATTCCTTTCAAGCTATTACCATGTTAACATGGCCGGAAGCGAACATATAGGCGCAATATACGTGATTATACTCTTGTCAAAATGCTATGCAAGTACATGTAACGTCAGCCTCTTACTAGGTATGGCTTGCACAAGACATGAGAAGAATAGTTAATAGGCTTCTGGACTAGAACGTAACAGATTGAGGCATCTTGTATGATGCACGAGTGAATGCAGACAGAGATCTGCTGGTGCAGTTTCTTTAGCCAAGCCAACGACATACAATGTAGACATGCATCAGACAGCAATCCAGTAGACAGGAGACAGTGAACACCTATACATGTACATCAAACCATGTACATGTAGGTGATGTCAGCGTTAGGAATTTATCCGCATGTAAGAGACAAAGTGTGATTTGACACAGACTCGATTGATACAGTGGATATGGCAAGGTGTTGGCATAGTAGTCTATGCTACGCAAAACCCTGGAGCTGCACCAGCACACTGCAGTAGCATATCAGGCAAACTTAACTCTACAGTTTACAGAAACACATGCGTTTGCCACTTAAGACGTCCAGCACCTTTACCTGTGGAGGTAGGGCCATTCTAAATGTAAGAATAGAAGAATACTTTGATGGTGTTGAACCATTGGTGCCTGCTGATGAACCAGGAAGTTTTTTTCCATTTCACCAGTCATCCACTCCTCTCTTCTAGATTTATAACCAGGTGCCGTTGGCGGTGGTGTTGGGGGTTCTGCTGCTGATGTTCGGACTCCATTTTCTGGAGGTGATGTTGCCGCTGCTGATGCAGCCGTACGTACGTTTCGCATGGATGGGCCTGCCATGGTTACTTGTTGCTGCATGGAGGCGGGTCTGGCGAGTGTCGTCGGAGTAGAAGTTCTGTGAGACTACATGGCTGAAGCTGCACTAACCGCTGGGGCATTGGATGTGACAGAGAACTGTTCAGCCGCATTCCGCATCGAAAGTGATGGTCTGTTAGCCATGTTTGAAAGCGAAGTCATACCAGCACGACCTCGATATTGTCCGTCCTTCACGCGTTCATGACCACATATAAATACCTGGGGTTGCTACTGCTGGTGTTCTGGTTGCTGTTGCTGCAGATAATGTATCTGTTGCTGTTGCTGTACCGTGGATGAGCCTGCCATTGTTAACTGTTGCTGTGCGTCGACGGAGGTGGTGGTGCCCGTCGATGCAGCAGTGCTATTCGAAGACGCAACGGAGGCTGCACTAATAGGGGACGCAGTGACTGCTTGAGATGACTGTCCAGTTGCATTTATTACTGAAAGTGATGCCAAGCTCACCATGTTGGAAACTGAAGGTGTACCGACACGTCCCGGAGAGTCTCCGTGATGCACGCCTGGGGTTGGTCTTGATTCTCGCTGTTGGTGAACCTTCATGTGTCGACGCATACTCCGCTGCCAACCAAATCTTTTAGGGCACAACACACACTGGTATGGTTTCTTACGAGTATGTGTGACCTTGTGCTCGTTCAGGCTGACCAGCCTTGTAAAATCGCGCTGACAGATTCCACATTGAAAAGGCTTTTCACCTGTATGTGTACACATGTGCCGGGTCAGGTCGAAACTGCTTCGGAAGCGGCGAGTGCAGTCCCCATAATCACATACATGGTTCAATGGCCGGTGCTTCCATGGTATAGATCCACCACTCGATGACAGTCTCACGCTGCAAATCTCTTCTTCGTGATTGTCAGTAGCTGGCACCGTATTGACTGGTGGCGTCGTCATCCCCGAGGAACCATGTGAATACCCAATCCCGTGAGTCGAGTGAAACTCATGCCAGCCGGCCCCATGCACCATGGAAATATTTGCAATTGAAGCTGTGGCATCTTCTTGTCCCACTACACCAGCGGTCATAGTGTACTGTTGCTGCTGCCGCTGCTGCTGGTGCTGCTGGTGCTTCTGGTTAGGGCTTATGGTGGCATCAGCACCAGCAGACCCGGAAGGCGGGTTGGTGGTAGCTAATGAGCCCATTGCTACCTGATCATCCGGCAGAGAAACTTTTGACCCTGACAATAATGGAACGGATGGGAATCTTGGGAACGTATCGTCATTCCCACCATCAACTGGTGCACCAGCCATGTCACTTCCCAGATTCCGGCATTGAGGTGATGTCTGCGTTATGTGCCCGCTACTTCTGACTAAAGAGCTTGTTTGATCTTGCAAGAATGATGATTGAGCAAGTTGTAATTGTCGATAAGAATATGATTGTGACTCGGACTGTGGCCCTGAATGGGTCAGATGTTGGAGGATGGCGTCCTCATCTGCGCCATCAGTGATATTGAAAGGTCCGACATCCATGGGCGCTGATGCTTCCAGCAAGTCAAGTTCTGCTGCTGCCGTGCCCATACCGCCTGGCACCGGTGGTGTGACGAAGACGTCGGCCGTGTAGGGATGCATCTCCTCCATCCCTAGAGCATTGCGAGGGGGAGTCAAAGGGATGGATTTGAGATCTAAACGTTGTAAAAATTCGAAGTCCTGATATATATTGCCAGTTATAATACGAAGCGAACCCGCATCGTCGCCACCGAAAGGTTTCGGCATATCATAGAGTTGCATGTTGTTGCTTGTTGTGTTCATCGGCAGCCCAGCTCCATGGATTTGCACGGCCGGGTTGGGCAAAAACATCTCCTGTTGAACAACGTTATTGGCCGGTTGACCCGTCTCACCACCTGTCTTAGCACTGTCCGCCGAATCTGGAGGGGGTACGACAATCGACGCGCGTGTATGCGTCCGCCTGTGCCTTGCCACTTCGTGAGCGCGAGAGAAGCTGAGTGTGCAGCCTTCACGACCACATTTGAATTTCTTCGATGGTGCACATGCCATACTACAAATAACCACAACGGCCAGCAAGTCTAGTTCACTCTTAGTTTCAGGCTTATCAGACAACATAAGTTTGGTATTGGCCAAGCCTGTATTTATGCCACGAGAGGTATTGGTGTTTTTGCTGGCCCTAAACACCGGGTGTTGATTTTGGTAGTGCTAATCGCTATGTGGGGGCTGTGCGTGAATGTGGAGGCTGTATAAGTTTCAGTCTCACAAGAATGGGTACGGATGTGTTCAGTTAGGTGATAGCACCTTGAAAAAGAACGCCTACGAATCTGACATTGGGGAGGTTTCGCGCTTGCATTCGCACGCCTGCGGCGTGTCAGCTCGTCACTTTGCGATCAGTGGTAAGTGCAGCCTTCATAACCACATATGAATTTCTTCCATGATTCAAATGCCATACAACACAGACCCCAAGAATAAGCAAAGCCCTTTCGTCGCTACTCTGAATTCCATCCCTATCAGGCAATAATTATGAGGATCGTATTGGTCATACAGGAATTTATGCCAGGTGAGGTTATTATCAATATGCAGTGGGTGTTGACGTGGTAGTGTCAATCGCTTTGTGGGAGGCCGTGTGTAAATTTGAAGGCTGTACGGGTTTCAGGTCTGGCACTCTTATTTTGGGTGTGGTTGATGTGGACAGGAAGCTGTATACAGAGCTCGTGGTGGTTGTAGACAGGGCACTGTGGAGTAGGTGACAGGGCTAGCAGTGTACTGTTAGCGCAGAGAATACGCCTGGTGTTGCAGGAAAGGTGTGTGTGTTTGGTGTAGGTAAGGGGATGTAGTGGCAGGAACACTGTGGTACTTGAGGAGATATCTGCACTAGGTCGTACTATAGGACCATCCAGTAATCACTGGTCGATGAAAAGAAACCGGCGATTCCCTCAGTACTGGCGTAATTAGTGCTAGGTTTAGTTTTGAAATGAAAATTTGGTGCTTTTTCATTTTGCTGATCTTCTTTTACGAGTCGCAAGATATGGGAGAAGTTTAAATAGACCGGTGAGCTACAATCATTGGATTACATCAAATATACTGTCATCGCCTGCGAGGCACAACTGATTTTGTAATCTTGTATGATCCACGAGCGAATGCAGACATACATATGCTGGTGTAGTTTTATGATCTTAGTGGAAAACCAACAACATACAATGTAGACCTACATTGGACCGTGTAAAATAGACAGTATACACATATACATCAAACTAGGGCTGAAACGCTCATTCACTCTTAACGATTAACCATTAACGCTTTCGATCGATTTATTGGTTTTATCGATACTTTCTCGTTTCTCAAGCACATTATAGCAAATTTCGTTCTCGATAGACAAAACTTCTATAAAATCAACTCGGGTATACTAAGCACCAGCGAATAGCATACAGCAATATTGCAAAATGTGCATTGAACTTCAAGTGGTAACTCAAAAACAACCCAAACAACTGAAAGATAAAACTAGCAGTATTATCAATTTAAAAAAAAAAACATACACATGTAGGTGACGCCATCATTTATGCAACGAAGTTGACAGATATATATATAATATAATTATATGCTGTTTGCGTTATGCAGAGCTCACTGACTTGTCAGTTTGAGCACTCTGGCAAGGTACGTTCGGGCCTGATTGGAAATTTTTATTTCCATTGCTATCAGGTTCGGCCTCATTTCCTCTGTGCTGCGCTGATGAGTTCAAAAAGAACGAAACAGCATGCTGTCCGCAGATTGAGTATTTCGCTCCTGCTCTTGTAGCAGTTGAGCACTCTTGCGTGGGGTAGTGCCTTTGCTGTTTGCGTTATGCAGAGCTCACTGACTTGTCAGTTTGAGCACTCTGGCAAGGTACGTTCGGGCCTGATTGGAAATTTGTATTTCCATTGCTATCAGGTTCGGCCTTATTTCCTCTGTGCTGCGCTGATGAGTTCAAAAAGAACGAAACAGCATGCTGTCCGCAGATTGAGTATTTCGCTCCTGCTCTTGTAGCAGTTGAGCACTCTTGCGTGGGGTAGTGCCTTTGCTGTTTGCGTTATGCAGAGCTCACTGACTTGTCAGTTTGAGCACTCTGGCAAGGTACGTTCCGGCCTGATTGGAAATTTTTATTTCCATTGCTATCAGGTTCGGCCTCATTTCCTCTGTGCTGCGCTGATGAGTTCAAAAAGAACGAAACAGCATGCTGTCCGCAGATTGAGTATTTCGCTCCTGCTCTTGTAGCAGTTGAGCACTCTTGCGTGGGGTAGTGCCTTTGCTGTTTGCGTTATGCAGAGCTCACTGACTTGTCAGTTTGAGCACTCTGGCAAGGTACGCTCGGGCCTGATTGGAATTTTTTATTTCCATTGCTATCAGGTTCGGCCTCATTTCCTCTGTGCTGCGCTGATGACTTCAAAAAGAACGAAACAGCATGCTGTCCGCAGATTGAGTATTTCGCTCCTGCTCTTGTAGCAGTTGAGCACTCTTGCGTGGGGTAGTGCCTTTGCTGTTTGCGTTATGCAGAGCTCACTGACTTGTCAGTTTGAGCACTCTGGCAAGGTACGTTCGGGCCTGATTGGAAATTTTTATTTCCATTGCTATCAGGTTCGGCCTCATTTCCTCTGTGCTGCGCTGATGAGTTCAAAAAGAACGAAACAGCATGCTGTCCGCAGATTGAGTATTTCGCTCCTGCTCTTGTAGCAGTTGAGCACTCTTGCGTGGGGTAGTGCCTTTGCTGTTTACGTTATGCAGAGCTCACTGACTTGTCAGTTTGAGCACTCTGGCAAGGTACGTTCGGGCCTGATTGGAAATTTTTATTTCCATTGCTATCAGGTTCGGCCTCATTTCCTCTGTGCTGCGCTGATGAGTTCAAAAAGAACGAAACAGCATGCTGTCCGCAGATTGAGTATTTCGCTCCTGCTCTTGTAGCAGTTGAGCACTCTTGCGTGGGGTAGTGCCTTTGCTGTTTGCGTTATGCAGAGCTCACTGACTTGTCAGTTTGAGCACTCTGGCAAGGTACGTTCGGGCCTGATTGGAAATTTGTATTTCCATTGCTATCAGGTTCGGCCTCATTTCCTCTGTGCTGCGCTGATGAGTTCAAAAAGAACGAAACAGCATGCTGTCCGCAGATTGAGTATATTATATGTTAGGTACCTCCTCCCGTACCTTTTCTAGCTGGCCTGAATGCACTTGCGTACGCACCTTTTGTCTCCTTTTGCTCCGTTGGCCTGGGTAGCTACTTGCGCACCCATATTTGCCATAGCTACCCAGGCCCTTTATCTTGCCGTTTAGACTTGATCTCTCTCTCTCTTTTCTCACTCGTCAATAATCACCATGTAGTCGTTTCGTTCGTCTTGGTCTCTTGTCTCGTCGTCTGTAATGAATGTCGTTCCCACTAACTTGTTCCCGTTGTCAGTCGTCCTGTTTCGAACTCAACATTGGCGCCCGATTATTGATCGACCCACGACCCTGAGATCATCCCATGCCCAGCCGTCCTCAACCACCATTCGTCTCGTCTATGTCAACCTCGTCTCGTCCATGTCAGCCTCGTCTCTCCTACGCCAACCTCGTCTCGTCTCTATCAACCTCGTCTCTCCTACGCCAACCTTACCTCGTCTATTCTCGTTCAAGCCATGCAGGTCAGCTACCTTTCTCTCTTTCTTTTTTTTGTATGCTTCTTCGTCAAATTTATTTTCGTGAATTTTTTTTGTAGTGTGTGCGCGCGCGTGTGTTCGTAAAACATAACCAAGTTAGGGGTCCGATCATGGTGAGCCACGCTCTAATTTTTGGATGTTTAGCAAAAGTGTAACTAGGCTGTATTAGCCGTGCAAAATACTAGTAATTCACGTTCCTCGTCAAACTCCAATAGTTATTACACACAATAAGTAGTACAGGAATGATGTGTACGAGTGCATTTTTAGTATACACTTTCGTGAGATCCATGCGCGCGTGCAGTATGTGTGTGTGTGTGTGTGTGTGTGTGTGTGTGTGTGTGTTTTCTCCTCCAGTTCATTTTTTTAAATCTTTTTCTCTCTTTTTTTTTCTCTCCGCGAGGACGCGGGATTTTTTTCATGGAGGGGTTGTATGTTAGGTACCTCCTCCCGTACCTTTTCTAGCTGGCCTGCATGCACTTGCGTACGCACCTTTTGTCTCCTTTTGCTCCGTTGGCCTGGGTAGCTACTTGCGCACCCATATTTGCCATAGCTACCCAGGCCCTTTATCTTGCCGTTTAGACTTGATCTCTCTCTCTCTTTTCTCACTCGTCAATAATCACCATGTAGTCGTTTCGTTCGTCTTGGTCTCTTGTCTCGTCGTCTATAATAAATGTCGTTCCCACTAATTTTTTCCCGTTGTCAGTCGTCCTGTTTCGAACTCAACATATATATGTTGGACTCAGTAGAGCGTCCAGCCCCTATATGATGTCCAACCCCTATATAGAGTCCATTGGTCCAAAATCCACTGTACAGAGTCCAGACTTGGAATCAACTGTGAGCTCAAAGTTTAGATGGACATCACTCCCTGTATAGAGTCCAGCCAATTGGCTTCACCCCTTTATAGAGGCCATTGGTTCAAAATCAACCGTACGGAGTCCAAACTTTGAAATCAACTATAAAGATTAAAGAGTC